GGTTCGTCAGCCCTGTCAGCCAATGCGTCAATCAGACAACTGGAAGGCTCGAGCAGTGACCTGGTGCTGGAGGCGAGGGAGAGAGTGAGGCCGACGGCTCAGCGCAGTTTCCTTGCGATAAACGAAAACCTAATGCGCTTGAAACTATCACTCCTGGGATCCAAACCATCCCCAACTCTATCGTGGTTTTCTTGGGTGTATGGCTCACACTGCAACCTCTCCCATCTCCAGTCTTCTTGACTTTGTCTTACCACGGGACCCAGGTGGGGAGGAGGTGGGGAGAGAATGAGGTAGATGCTATGCAAGTCTATTCTCACTATAATCAAGTGCAAGTCACAGTCCCTGCACCACTCTGCTGCGGAGCACACAGTGAACACTGTCTAAACGATGATCAAACGGTCTTCATATTCAAATAATTTTGAATAAATAACTGCGAATGGTGAATTAAGGTTCTTTTTTAACTACTTGAAATACATCTTTAATAGGGTTTCCTGAACCTTCATTAGTCCAATTCATGGTGGGAACAATTTGATTCAATAAATAACTATATGCTTGCATATCTCTGCTTAAAATGTTAAGAAATTCCTGCCCGTCGGGAAAAAAGGCCTTCATCTGCTTCCGTCTATATTTTATTTGTCCGGCTAATATTCAATCAAACAGTAAGCATTAAACGAAAACGCCGATTACAGTCTTCAACCAGAGTAACGTTACATCTTTCATTACACTATTGTGGCACGGTTTGCTACAGTTAGTCGCGTATTCAGCCCGGTTTTGAGACAAGGCATAAAGAACTAGAATGCCAAAATAAATCTACCCATATAACTCGGTCACAAAAGTGTAGAATACTTATTATAGAGACCCTGGAGTCCCAGAGTATTTTTAGCATAAATTCTGAACTCTATTTTTGAGGTTTATAGCGCAAAATTTTAAACAAGTATCGACTGTATAGAACTGAATTGCAGAACCATATATAATTGGTTGGGGGAATGGTGGATGATTAATCTAATTGCAGAATTTGTGACCGATCTACAGGAATTGTTTGATGATTACTTTATTCGTCTGAATGCTTTTCTGGGCACTAGAATTCCTAAAGGACATAATTCAGTCTGAATAAAAAAGGAATCAAACGCAAACTTCCCACAGATTACCTTGACTACTTTATCCGCAGTCTCCCGAGTAATTTCAATTTCATCTTGAAGAGCCTGCACTTTCGTAAACAAGCTCACAACGTCGTGCTTTGCGAACATAGACAGAGAGTCCAAAACTTGAGACTTTTCGCTTATCCAGTCTTCGATCTGAAAAGAAGGTTCAGAGAGAGAGTCCAGGCACTAAAGCAAAAAACTAGGTATGATATAATGGAGACAAATGTTCGCATCCCAGATATATGTATAGATAGAGAAAACGAAGGTGTTTCGATCCCCGGACGAGACTTCTTGCGCAGGAAGCTCGAGGAGCTGTACAACGAAACCCGGAGTTTGCTCAAAATTGAATACCTCATGAGGATTTTCGAATTTTGCCAAAAGACATATTTCATCTTTGCAGGAGTGACTTGTGAACAAATCAAGGGAACTCCGATTGGCTCCCCAATCTCCGATTTATTAGCAGAATTGGTCCTTCAAGAACTGGAAAAGATGGTCTTCACCCAACAGACCCTGATCTTTTGGTGGCGTTACGTCGATGACACGTTTTTTAAAGACAAAAGAAACACGTTGCAGAATTTCCATGATCTCCTTAACTTGATCTTTCCAGATATACTATTCATGAGGGAAGAAGAAAAGGATCAGCGCCTACCTTTCTTTGATGTACTCATCATGCGAACTTTCAACGACGAGATAGAAACAACGGTCTACAAAAGAGCAATGAACAACACACAACTTCTCAACTATCCCAGCAGCCATCCGGTGGTTCACAAACGAATCTGCGTGAGAACGCCATTCAAAAGGATACAGACTCATTGCAGTGACCCCGAAAAAAAGCACGTGAGGCCCGATATCTCCGCAACCAATTTACGCAGAATGGCTATCGGAAGGCCCTCATAAGCCGATGCCGACGTGCTCGCCCTCCGAGGACCCAACCAGAACTAACCCGTACGATGTGGTATGCGCTGCCATACACCAGGGATGTGTCGGAAGCGACCGAGCGCATTGCTGCAGGACTAGGCGTCGCAGCTGCACACCGTCCCAAGTCTACCATGCGCAGCCGGGTCATGAGAATACAGGATCGACTAAACCCCAGTGAGCAGTCGGGCGTAGTGTATCGCGTGCAAGGCCTAAACTGTCCTTGAAATAACACAGCACAGATTGGAAACAGGCTTGGTTCGTGCATTCACGAACATAAGCTGGCATTACGACAAGGTGACGTCTTATTGCAAGTGGCTGCCCACACCTATGAGATGGACCACTAATTTAACCTCGCAGCCGCGAGGATAATTGTCCACGCCAGCAAAAGAACAGGACGAGAACTAACTGAAGCCTGGGCCTCGGATGACAACTCAGGCAACCGATGTATCGAGCTGACGCCCGCATAAATCACCCTCCGCAGGCATCTCCGCACGGCCGACACCGGTGATTAATGGGTTCCCTCCCCCCC